ACATCATGTCAAGGGCGGCTGGGTAATGAAGACGCTCCGAACTACTGGGGAATAGTGGCCTGAAAGGGGTAAGACTCATGAAATATCCGAAATCTTGGTTCTTAATTTTTAATCGTTTAATTTTAATTATTATTTTAATTGTTATATTGTAAACCGCCCAGACTCACGGCATAGAAATTTAATAAATAAATGGAAGGCAACGAAATCGACGGGGACTTAGTCTTGCCTACGCGTGGGTAAGATTAGATGGTTTCGTACGAGGGAGGGGGGCTGCTTCAAAGGGTGTCTCAAAATATATTTCCTCGGGAGGAAAAAAATAATGAATCTACGCGCCCCTGCGCCGGCCCTAGAAGTATAATCTCCGTCGGATTCCATCTCGCGTGGGAAAAAAACATGCCCGCATAGGAAACGATTGCATTGTTGCGCAGTGTAGCGCTTATTTGGATAGATCAAACATTTAATGTACGAGTCAAAGCGCAAGCAAACGCCCCCGCCGCCGCCGCTCCCCGCGATGCGCGGAGCCAGAGCTTATAGAGGGATCCTCTGAGGCGCAACTGCTTCCTAGGCTTCTGCTCTGCCATTGGGGGCAGCCCCACCAAGAGAGAGATCCGTCTGCCTTTTCGCCTCCGCCGCCTTCCAACCTAGCTGTAATATATGCGCGGAAAATGGTAAACGCGCCGAGGAGCCAGAGCTGGGACGGTCCCTAAGGATTGAAGAATTAAAAGTAGCCCTCCGGTTCACAAAGTTTGCCATTTAAAAGGGCGGAACGGAGAGGCGAAGAAGCAAAGCGAGCACTTCCAATGGGAACGGGAAAAAGTTTGAATCCTAGCGCGAAAGCGGAGCCAGTGAGGAGGATTGATGAGCGGTACAATTGAAATAATGGGATCGACCCGTCCAACTCCTCCAGCATGAATTATTTGAAGTATTGAGCGGGGAGAGCTGCGGTTGCATCCTGCCCAATTATCGGGGTGTAAATATTTGTAATGGTTTCTTCCACGCCAAAAAAACAAAAAAAAAAAAGCATTGCTGCACAAGTTTAGCCCCGAGTTTATTCCGGGATGAGTAGGGTTACAAGTCATAGGCTTTGTCTAAAGGATGGACCTATGGGTGTGCAGCTACAGGAGCATCAATGCCTTGCGAAATGAGGCAAGAGCAGTCTGGATTGTGCCTCTTCAGATTATGGCTAGGACTAGTATTTTTTAATGTAACCCCCCCCTTACAGGAGGGGTTTTGAGACTCTCGGCAAACACATCAAACATTCATTGGGGAGAGAAGGATGATCAACTTTTTTTTTTGTCTGCTGTGCCTTTTCAAGGGTTGTTGGAGAAAGTCCTGAGAAATTCTACAGTTTTGAAACTGAACAATTCTGAATGCTGTTGCCTTTTTTGGTATAATGCAAAGAACGCATCTTAATGAATCAGATTTATTTGAGTGGGATTTTTATCCCATGTGTAATATAGGTACCGGTATGTTTTTGTGTGATCTTACAATTTTAGGACAGGAGTATACCCTACTTAGCCTTGAGAACAATTGTCGTTATTTCCCGTGTTCTGGAGTGTAATTCTAGGATTTTAAATTGGTTCTGTAGCTTCAACTAAATCTAGACATCTGGAATCTTTACTACATATTAAAATAAATAACAAAATAAATGTCCCTTGATCTTAAAAAATGGCAAGAGAGACATGTAAATTAAAATGAAACATCAATTACCAAATGAGCCTTGTTTTATAGCTTTACCCTACTATACACACCCCCTTGCTCTGATGTATACACCTAATGCGTGTATCTTGAGTAACTGAAATCACCAAATTGCATTACCTCTGGCAACAGCTTTAATATTAAAATAATTATACAGATCTATAGAATTTGATCCCCCCTGTTTCTTCCATGGGAAACTTGCATTTTTTTTCTTTTAAGAAGCATTAAGTAATGTACAAAATATGGAATACAGATCAGAGCATCTATCCCTGGTGCTATGAAATAGCAATAGAAATGAGGCAGAGACTTGGAGGAACTCTTGGTATATTTGCACAAGTCATCAAGCTGTTTACAAAAGAATGGAAGGTTTTTGGGTTTTCCTTTCTCCCAAGGTGCATAAAGCAGGAAGCAGGCAGGCACAGCCTCATCTGTCTCTGTGGAAACTATTGAGTAAAGATATACATTTGACAAAAATCAAATGCAGCCTGTAAATATTCAAAGCCAATAAGCAGTATCTGCAGTACTGAAATTCCCCTTGTCCTCTCAACGCAAAACCATTAACCTAGATGCAGATTTTATTCTTTTTGAGGAAATGTCCATGTTAGTTAGGATCATAACCTCTGATTCAGATGACTCCTGATTCAGCCAGGAGCTTGCAGTCCTTCAGTAGATTAGGACATTTATCCAACCTTACACTACTCACATTTTAAAAATGTGAACCAGTTATTTGCTTGGAATTCCAACATCTGGAGCTCACAACAGATTTGTTGGAGCTGTAACTTCCAACATTTCATGATGATTTGAGATCAGATATAGAGCACCACATTGGAGAAGAGTGATGTAAAAACACATAGAAATTAACTTTTTTGTCTGCTGCCCTACAAATGACAGGCATGTGGCTAGAGACATTTGTCTAGGGCAGGGGTCTTCAAACTTGGCCCTTTTATGACTTGTGGACTTCAACTCCCAGAATTCCTCAGCCAAGCACTCTGGCTGAGGAATTCTGGGAGTTGAAGTCCACAAGTCATAAAAGGGCCACGTTTGAAGACCTCTGGTCTAGGGGAAAGAGAACATGGCCTGGATAGCTGTTTGTCTTGCTATATTTTAATTTTGGCCTGTAGCTTAAGCAGGATGGAATGCACATCTTATTGATTTAACTAGACTGATTCCCTTTACATGGCTGCAGATAAGCTTTGATAGGAAAACCCACATGGCACGATTATGTGTCAGACTGAACAGAATCAGGCTGCAGAAGTGTATTTTGTTGTAAACAGTGATTCTATAGCAGAAGTGTTAGTAGCTAAGATTTTCTCCTGACTCCCTTGTAAATCTTGTTGAAGGCAATGGGGCTCTTTCATTAGAAATAGGTGGCTTCTTTGAGCTGGCCTCTTCCACAATTGTTGGTGGGAAGGGCAATTAGCAAATCCAGAAGGAGTGGTTTCATAATGATTTCAATGATCAGTGCCTATTATGATTTCATAATGATTTCAGTGCCTATTGCATCAATGAGAAAATAATCTTGTGATGGGGAAATACTGTGCTATTAAGTTATCCTAACTAGTATGGAGAATGAGGGTAAAGATGGCCTTATACTGAATTCAACTTTAGCTACCTACAGAGATACAACTATGCGGTTTTCTTGACATCAGTGCAGAAGTAATTTGCCATTTTGTTCTTCAGATTTTTTTTTAAATGTTCCATCTAGCCTGGTAGTGTTCTGAATTTTTAATAAAATATGACCTTTCACAGTTTCAGAGAACTTTGGCCAGGGCTGCTATAATTCAGAATACACTGACTAGGGATTAAAACCACAGCAAAAGCATTTTTCAGCAGCCTCTTTGACAGGTCAGGCACAGGCTACCAATAGTGCTCTTCGGAAAGGGTATACTAGTTCTATGCTGTTCAGATGGTTAATTTAAGCCGTGAAAGAAAGCCAACTTCTGTCAAGTACATGTTGCCATTTCTACCAGGTACATTACAGGTTTTCTGCTGCCTCTGCCAAAAAAGTTTCATAAAACCGTGGTTTTTATTATTTAAAAAAATATCTCCAAACATGAGTGCTATACCTAATACCATGAGCAGTTAATTAACCATTTAATCTCCCTGAACTGATCTCAGTTCCTGTCCCTTTTTCTGTAACACACCACAGTTACTTCTGTCCTTTATGTATGGGTGCCATTTTACCCATTAGATTCCTACTATGTACAGCAGACATGTCAAACACAAGGCCCAGGGGCCGGATGCGGCCCGCGAAGTGGTTTCATATGGCCCGCGAAGTCATCCTGGAAACAGCGATGGAACGGCCCCCACTGCCTTGGCCCTGGCTCAGGCCAGCCGGGAGCCAATGTACAATTTTGTGGTGGCCATCTATGCTGAAATGCATTCAGTCTTAGCTCCACAAGGCCATCTGGAAACAGCGAGGAACCAGCCCCTGGTGTGTCGGCCCCACCCCCTGGGTGCATGCTGGGGAGGTGTCACCCTTTGTGAGGAATGAAGAAATGGACCATGCTTTGGCGCTTGCCCTGGTCCCACCCCCTTCTGCCAGAGACCCTCAGATCTGTCCCACTCCTGCCCAGGCCCCCACAGGCACCCTTGACGCGAACGATGTAGAGCTGGCCATGCCCACCCAGTAGGCCACACCCACTCCATCCACGCCCACCCAGTAGGCCGCACCCACCCTGGCCACACCCACCCAGCCCCCTGAGGGCTACCACAATGCTGATGCGGCCCTCAGTGAAATTGAGTTTGACACCCCTGATGTACAGCAATCTGTTGCCCAGTTCCAGAAGTCTTTTTAACCATTTTAACCAGGCTCCATCTGGATGCAGCTGGGCACAAGATCAGAATTGGCATCCTTGGTCACTTATTGTCACTATCCCCTTTGCTTTCCAACATTAATTGAGGACCAAGCTTTCATGCTATGGACTGTGCCTTCAGTGATCCTTCTTCTTTCTGTCTTGTTTCATCATAGGTGACTCTCCTTCGTTACCAATGAGTTATCTGGCAGTTGGGCTATTTCTGAACATAGGTTTGGTGCTGCACCCGTGTCCTGAAATAGCCTGACTGGCAGGTAACAGATGCGAAGAAAGGACTGAACTTAGCAGGGAGCTAAAGGAGGGAGCTCCTGTTCATTTCACACGTCTTTCTATGCCTGTTACCTGGTCTATTGATGAATATGGTGTTGAGGATGGTGGATAAAAATAGTCCAGTTGACGGGAGCAGAACTTGGAGGAGGGATTGCAAGAGGCATTTTGAGAGCTCCCTCATCCCTCATTCCATGATTCCTCTGTCCCACATGTTAGTGAAACTGAACAAAAGCTTACCTGTCTAGATTTTGGAACATTTGCTGCCTTCATCCTAGATCCTGATTTGAAAGTGAATGCTTGATGGAGATCAGAGAAGTTGGCCTCGGCATAGTTTAGAATGGAGAATGAATTGGCTGAAGTTTCAAAGTTTCACCCTAGAAGACTCAAAGTTCATCTGCTTAAGTATGAGATCACAATCAACAGCAATGAGAAAAGCAACATCAGAAACATAGCCAATTTTCTAGGAAGAAGACCCATTTGGTCATTTGCTTACACTGAACTCAGATTTATGACATTTCTCTCTGAGCTGGAATTTCTGCAGTTGTCACAGGCTACAGTATATTGAGGGCTTCTGTCATGGTAATAACACAGATTTTGTAAAAAATGTAGTGGAAAGTTTACTCTGTTTATTTTCTGCTTAAAGGTTCTAGTACAGTGGTGGCGAACCTATGGCACACGTGCCAGAGGCGGCACTTGGAGCCCTCTCTGTGGGCACACATGCCGTTGTCCCAGCCCCTCCTCCCCCCATGGCCCCCTCTACACCAGCAGCCCCCCGGAGGAGAGTCACCCCCAGGCATGGCCCGCCTGGAGCAGCGCAGCCAAGGACATGGCAGTGGGGACAAGACTCCGCCCTTGCGCCCTGTCGCAAACAGATGATTTTGCGGGGCACAGGTGGAGGGCATGGCTGCCATGATGCTGCTGGGCTGCCTGGGCGAACTGCGGTGGGCGGTGGAGGTGGTGGGTGGCCCTGCGGGTGGGTGGGGGCAGGGCAGGGGTGGAACAGGGGGGCAGTGTGGGGGTGGGGCAGTTTTTGGGCACTCGGTGTCTAAAAGGTTCGCCATCACTGTTCTAGTATTACTATTCCACACTATTTGCACCTGAAAGTTTTTAAGCTACTTTGTCTTTTGGCATGAATACCCAGGAGGTGATGTTTCTTGTATGCAGATATTTGACTACTTATCTTCAGTACTTTCATTATTTTGTTTATCAAACACATTCTTGAAGAGTCAATAGTCCCAGTTAAATAAGTGGGACCCCCTTCTCAGCTTACAACAAGGCCCATGGTGTACCACTCTTTACTATGAAGATGTTGGAGTAGATTTGGAAATACTGTTGTAAGGGCTTCTTTCTTTGCTATGCATAGATTGGGACTCTAACAAAGATAACAAATATACAGGAACCTGAATAATTTGTTATCAATGACTGGCAGAAAAAGAAATAAGGAGACTGGAGATATTCAGGGAGGCTTTATGTAAATAAAAGTGATTTGTTGGTTGTTCAGCATACTTGCTGTTAAACGACATACACACCTCCCAATTATGATAGGGTTTTTTTTTTTACATCCAATGTAAATAACATTCATGTCAGAAATAAATTGCTTATATTTGGTTTTGGGGGAGTTCTTTTTTGAAGAGGAAGGAGAGGGCTACAGAGAGCTTTATATCTAAAGCATCTTTGAGCAAATAAATTCGTTTAATGTAATTGTCTTAGCATCCATTGTTCCTTCAAGAAAAATGTTGAGAAAAACCAGAGTATTGGTTTTTGTATGAATAGGAGTATGAATAGTATATGAATAGTATATTTTACAATTTCACATATGCCACAAAAAGTTTGATTCATTTTGTATAATTAAATTTATTCTCTTTGTTCCCCTTCCCAGTTAAATATATACATAAGAAAGAATGTTTTCAAAAGAGATATATTGGGTTTTTTGGCTTGTTAAATTAAAAAAAAGAAAAAAAATATTTTAAGTCATATTAAGTCAGTATTCAATGAAAAATGATCTAGCTGGGTCATTCTCAAATTTAAATTACAAACTCTTTGGGTTATTTTTCTTTTCTTGTTAGTGGAATAATAAACAGCTTACAATAAAATGTGTTTTTTATCGGTACACATTAACCTTTACAGCCTATATCATCAGCAGAGATCCCTATTTAGACAGGATTGTAGTTATTATTATTATTTATTCACACCCTCACTTTTCTCTGGTAGCTCAAGGCACAATAAGTTTTCCTTTAATTTTGTCCCTATGAAAACAACTTCTTCTGAGGAGGGCTAGATGGAAAAAGAATGATTAGCATTAAGTTTCGCAGGGTACAATATGGTTATTTGTGAACTCAAAATGCCTCTCCTGGTGTAAGGGCAACACCTCAGCTACTATACTGTTCTGGCTGTATCTCGAGTTTAATACTTTCTTAGTATCAAACTTTTTTTTTTTTTGCAATTGTTCTCAACATTATATTCTAAAGCAAAATACAGGTACTCCAAAACTTATGATCATTCATTTAATGAATGTTGGAGATTACAATGGAGCTGAAAAAGTGACTTACGTTCGGTCCTTGCACTTAAGACTGTCTTGGTGTGTCCCTGCAGTCATGTAATCAAAATTTGGATCCTAATGTATTTATGATGGTTGTCGTGTCCTGTGACACGATTGCTATTTCCAACCTTCCCAGGGGACTTCCAAGTCAACGGGAGAAGTTGAATTAGCTTAATGACCATATGATTCACTTAACAACTGCAGCAAAAAGATTGTAAAATTGGGCACGGCTCACTTAATGTCTGCATGGTTTAGCGACAGAAGCTGCAGTCCGAACTGTATTTGTAAGTTGAGGGCTACTTATAGTGAACTAAAAAAATAGGGTTTTTCTAATTATTTGTAATGTTGTAAAAACATTATCTAGATGCAATATAAATAGGTAAACGTTTGACAAAGATATATATTTAAATTTAAACCTTATATTTAAGGTTAGTTCTGGCACACACAAAAAATCATTCCTGACCTGAAAGCTAGCAGTTATGTTATGAGTTGAAAGATGGAGTAAGTTTTGTTCTAACCATTTGCTGAGGAAAATGAAGAATGTTGAGTTCACATCAAACAGTATTGAAAAAGAACTTTTGAAATTCTGCAAAGAGGCAAAAGGCAAAGAAAACCGTTTTTGTTATTACATTGGAGCAACCAGTGATGCAGCCACCAAAATAACTAATGAGGTTATCATATCCTTGTTGAGAAGACTTGTGAGAAACTAAAAAAGAAAGATAGTCAGATCTGTGAACTGAAATATGATAAACAGATTGACCTGAGTACTGTGGACCTGAAGAAACTGAGAGTCAAAGAACTGAAAAAAAAATTCTAGATGACTGGGGTGACACATGCAAAGGCTGTGCAGAAAAATCAGATTTCATTCGTAAAATCAATGAACTGATACCTAAATATGCACCAAAAGCAGCCAGTTCACAGACAGATCTCTGACCACCATAGTGACTTCTATCAATTAGCAAGATACACAAATTACGTTAAACCTTTTATTCCCCGGAAATCTGTTTTTTGTAACTTATTTACCTGGGTTTCAAGTGTCAAATTGAAAGGATTCTTGCAATGCTGGTTCAGATGCCTGGTCATGTCTTAAATTTTTATTTCTATTGTTTCAGATTTATTATAAGACTTTGACATACATACAGGATTTTAAAATAAAAATCAGTTGAACTAAAAGAATTGGCATTAGTTTAGTGTCATGACTGAATATGGCACTTTTCCAGCACTACCTAACAATGGTTTGAAGATGATCTATGAGACAGTATAACATGCATTTGCTGTTATTACTGTCTTTCTACATTCCATTCTTTAAAATGCTGAACACTTTTATTACATATCCAAATTAAATGTTTTAAGTGCGAGTCTTGCACATCTTTCACAGGAGTTAATTTCTCTGAATAAGAAAGCCATTCATTCTGTCTTTGCTTCCACTTTCAGTACAGATGACAATCCTACAAATATGCAGTGGCAGAAGGGGAAGATATACTGATGTACACTTTTTTTAAAAAAACGGGATGAGTTCTACCTTCATATGCTGCACATAATATAAACTGTTAAAGCAAAAAAAGAAAAAAAAAGGAAAAAAAGAAGGGAATGTTAGGGCCACCCATATACATTAAGCTAAAAAGGTTGCTATAAGAAAAACATATAAGAGGTTAGGATCCACTAATATATACAACATAGAATATCTTCTTAATGTTACGGTATGTAACTTAGTCTTTGGGGCATGGGGCTGTATGTGCATGTCTGCTACTTTCACATATGCAAGCAAGGAATTCAAAATGCAAAAAGAAATCTCTAAATCTGTTAATCTGGGGCCCATCAGAGCTGTGATTTCCCTTATGTTCTCCATGGCAAAATCATAAAAGAGTTTTCTTTTTTTCTTGTCAAGTGCTACTGAATTAATTTTATCAGATAGACCAGACAGGAAACATCACCAGATAAGCTAATTCTCCTTTACATTAACAGAATCTTGTAAGTCTGAAAGTAAAACTCTCCCCCATCACTTTTATAGCCTGATAATTTAGGGATGGCCCCTCCTGAGACTTTTGCTCGGTCCACCATGCAGGCTATCTTCTCTCTTGTTTGACTGTTCCCTAGGCAGTATCTCTTTATTGGTCTCCCAAGGTCATTCCCACATACAATTACATTAGCAGAACAGGATCACATTTACTTTACCTACATACTGTTCTTCCTGAGCCAGCCATAAAGAGGGCAAAGTCTTCAATAGGAGTAAGTAAGAGCTTTGCTCCCTCCCACATAAAGAGAAACTTACTCTGGGGTGGCTTACTTTTTCAAATGTATGTTTTCTGAGGTTATCTAGTCTGCTAGGAGAGTTGAAAAGCTGAATCTGCATTTCATTCAGATTCAGTTTTTTTTAAAAATCAGGTAGTCCTTGACTTACGACCACTTGCTTAACAACTGTTCAAAGTTATGAAAGCACTGAAAAAATGACTTACAACCAGTCCTTGCACTTATGATCATTACAATGCCTTCATTGTAAAATTTTGGCATTTGGCAACCAGCATTTATTTACAATAGTCACTTGACCCCCCCCTTTGTCACCTTTCCAGGGTACCTTCCAACAAGCAAAGTTAACAGGGGAAGCCAGATTCTCTTAAAGACTGAGTGAGTTGCTCAATGACTACAGCAAAAAGGTCATAAAATAGGGTGTGACTTGCTTAGTGAGGGAAGTTCTAGTCCCAGTTGTGATCATAAGTCAAGAACTACCTGTATACTTTAAACACATGAGGAAAACGCTCACACTCACTATGCATTTGACTTCTCATGATTTTGTTCTACAATTCTAAACCAGTAATTGCATTTTAATGTATTTGTAATTGTAACTATTTCCTTAAATGATGTACTGAAGTCATTTTGATGTTGTATGCCACCTGAAGATGTTTTCATGAGAGGTGACACAGAATGGTCTTATAAATAAATGAAACCTGAAATGAATGACAGCCACTCCTTTAAAAACAATTTGAATTCCTTTTTATCAGTCAGGAGGATTAATAAATGAATGCAATTATGAGCTATGTGGGCTGCCTTGACAAGCTGATCTTGCCCATTACTGCTTTCCTCTCTTCCTAGTTCCAGTTCCTCCAAAATCTGTTACTTCTCTGATGATGAACAAAGATGGCTTCCTTGGTGGTGTGTCTGTAAACACAGGTGAAGTGTTTTGTTCGGTACCTGGGAGGCTCTCCTTGCTCAGTTCCACGTCCAAGTACAAAGTCACTGTTGGAGAAGTTCAACGGCGCCTTTCACCTCCTGAGTGCTTAAACGCTTCCCTCCTTGGAGGAGTCCTTAGAAGGTAAGTCATGGGGCAGGCCAATCTGTACTTTCTGATGGGATTAAAATTGCATTAACATTACTATAAGTAGCCGTTGAAGTTAAGAGATGTAAGTGAATGCATATGAGATATACGTTAACAGTCTGGATGTCATTGCCACTGACACTCACGATATTATGCCAATCATGTTATATGGTTCATTAATTCTGTAAGACAGGCCACTTTCTTTAAATAGTCAAACTGGTTATTTCTGTATGTTAGAGTTCAGATCAATATCCTGGAGTTTATCTTTTAAAGTATCAAGAGTGTTCCGACATGGAGCTGCCTAGATGTTAAGCAGATATAGATAACAAATGACAAAAAAGCTTTTTCACTAATGTCCAACCTTTACTGCTCACCCAGGGTGGCTGAGTACGTGGGAATGGAGTCTCTTAGGTCAGCTGCATGTTGGATGAAGGCCCATTTATCTAGAGCTGTGCTATCATCTGCCTTAGAAAGAGGTAGATGTGCTTCATTACACTGTTCCTCACTTTAGGGGTGTTCCTGTTTGCATTTCTGAATGTAATTATAAGTTATACTGCAAACTGTCTGGAAGTTTTAACTGAATGTTACAATTGAATAAGTTTTAAATAATTAATGATTATGAATTTTATCATTTACCATTCAGTTTGGTATATTGCACTAGTGGAGAATGAAGGAGCAGATGAGGTTTCAAATGCATTAGATTAAGCAATCATTTAAAATTCCGTTCCTCTTCCCAGTATGAATTTATAATATTCATTTATTTTACATAGCTGCTATAAGGATTTATAAGATATGATTGTAAGCTATGAAGAAGGAATAAGTTCCTGATTTTTTTGCACATAAAGAAGACCCAAAAAGGTATTAAAACAAAAAGGATTAATAAAAACCTCTGAATGGGTATTCTTAAACTGGAAAAGTGGCTATAGAATGTTATTCATTTTTAAGTAATGGTAAAGTGATGCACATGAAGAGTGAAGAAAACTATTGTTGTATAGAAGATCAGAATAAGAATACAATCTTGATTCTGTGGTGAACAATTTAAAGAAAAGATCAATTTAATGTGAAGAAGCTGAATTTCAGTGCTAGGTATTCATTGAGAAGGGTTCTGAAAATAAAATTTCCAGTATCAGTTCATAGACAAGCTATAATACAACTACATTTAGAAAACTGCATAGTTCTTATCATTCAGTCTGAAATACGATATTATAGAGTTGAAGAAAATACAAAAATAGCAACCGGAACAAATGAAGTACCTAAAAGTATTATTAATAGCATTATTGTGAAATATCAACTTAGGTCAAAGTTGACTAAAGCAGATATAACAGAAGTATAAAATTACACAAGACAGGGAAGAAGTTGATAGAAAAAAATTCTTTATTTTCTCAGAATGCCAGAACTTGGGATCATCAATACAGTGGAATGAAATAAAATGGAGTCGTTTTTCACAATGCCTAGTTGAAGTATGGGATTCTCTATCATAGGGTTAACTAGCACAGGTGGCTTGAAAAGATTAGAAAAAAGTTTATTTCTTAATTTTTTATCCCAGATTATTATTCTATTTTTTTATTAAACAAATATTGCTTCCCAACTAAAACATAGGTCACCCTGGGCAGCTTACAATATTTAAAAAATCTAAAAAAATCGATCATATAATAAAACTGCTAAAAAAAGACCCCCTACCCTACCTCCCATGGGAGCAACAATACAATTAGATTAGCCAATTGGATTTCCTTCAGATAATAAATACAACTCTCTTTCCTCCATTTTCTCCACAATAACAACCCTGCTAAGTAGGTTGGGCTAAGAAACTGATTGGCTCCACATCACTTAGTGAATTTCTGTGGCTGAGAGTGAACTTGAAACTGGATCTTCCTGGTCCTAATCCAGCACCTCAACCACAACACTGTGGCTACTAGTCATAACAGTAGCTATCTCCAGGATCAGCAGCATTGAGACCAATAATAAGAGAAGCCTTTGCTCTTGTATACTGGCTGGGAATTCTCAGTGTGGCGTTTGAAGGCACGAGGTGAGAAGAAGGTTGTCCTAAAATAAACATATCCAATTTTAGAAAAAAAAGTAAGGTCTTCCAGAAACAACCAGACTCTAATCACAAATTTCCAAATCTATGTCACCTTCTAGGGCAGAGGTGTCAAACTGCCGCCCCGTGGGCCGGGTGCATCATAGCAAAACCGCGCCCACCCCACTGCCGGCAATGGCAAAAAAGTCATGATACGTTGTGACACGTCACATGACGTTGCGAGTTTGACACCCCTGATTTGGGGCTATGCTATTATGTCATCAACTATTTTGACCATTTGCAAATCTACATACTGTGAGCAAGAGTGTATCTCCCTAGTTTTGCAAGGCTACGATCATTTCCCCACTAGTGACTTGTAGTATTTTTCTGGCATCATTCGGGCAATATGAAGTCTGTCATAACTGCTACATTGGGCCAATGATGGTTGGAATAGGGGTTCATCTGTGGTTCACAAACATTCTTAAGACCCCTTTACATTCTTAAAAATGATTGAGGATCCCAAAGAGCTTTGGTTTATGTGCGTTATATTTATTGATATTGACTGTATTAGAAATTAAAAATGAGAAATGTTAAAATATTTAACTTTGAAGACTGCTGAGGTTGCCTCAGACCACCCTTTGAGAACCAATGCTCTAGAAGATGCTGGTGGATATCCTGTCTGTAGTTCACAAGCAATGGTCAGCCAAGTCAGTGCTCACTTTTATCCTTCCAAATTGATCAGCCACTGACCACCTCACTAGATTTCACTGGATCCCTGCCTTTCCTCTTCACATAAACAAAATACATTGCTGATTCATCCCCCCCCCCTTTCTTCAGTGGTCCCCTACATATATTTGGACTATTTCATTCATTTGCCATAAAATGCAGGTAAACAGAGGGGAAGGTGGTGATGCTTATTTGAAAAACAATACACATGTGGTACCCTAAATCCCTTGAAAGGGACTTCCTGCTGCTCAAACCTCTCTCCTGATGGAGGCCTAGCAGCCATGTTGCTTTTGAATTCCTTCCTGACTGTGCCAGGCAGCTGCTACAATAGGATTGCATCTTTTCAAGCCTAAGTCAGTGCAAAACCCTCATTTTTCAAGTAGCCTTTGTTGCCTTGAAGCAGCATTATTATTGTTGCTGTCTTGAAATTACAAAACACTTCTTACACAAGAGTAATTCAAACTTACTGAATTTTGTTATTGCACACTATTAATACATACTTTCACAAATGTGCCCTATATTGCTGGGGGTTGATGGCATAACTCACATTCCACACCCCAGGCCATTCTTCGGCTCCAATCCAGTCTTTTTACTTCGGAGTCTCTTTGAGTGCTAAGTGCTTTGAATAGGCAGAATTACAACAAAAACCTCACAAATCACCACCCTTGTTTGGAAGGCTAAATGCTGCTGGTGACGCAGCTTTCCAAGAACAGTCAGTTTATTCCTGGTAGTAGCAGAACTAAAAATGACATAACCCTCCTCCTCCTCCTCGTTCACTTGCAGCCTGCAAACCTAAACGTCGCTGGCGGCCCTAGGAATAACAGGGGTTCAGGTTGCCACGGGCAGGGCGAGCCTCTCTTTCCAAGGGCGGCGCTTCTTTCCTTCCCGCCCTTTAGCACCGTGAAACCTCATCTGTGCTAGTTGCTTGTGCCCGAAGCCAGGACTCTGGGGCGTCCCACCCCTCGGCCCCCCTTCTTCTGTCTCCCGGGGACCTTCGTCGAGTTTTAAAGCCCCGCGTTTTCCTTTTTTCGTCACTGCAGAGCCAAATCGAAAAATGGGGGCCGATCGTTGCGAGAGCGGCTAGAAAAAATCGGTTTGAATTTACCAGCCGGCAGGCGCAAAGCGGCAAATGTCACTTTACTCACCTCCCTGGTGGAAGGTAAGCAGACTTTCTGTCCATTTCGATTTCTTCTCACACACACACCCCGACCCCCCACCCCCACCCCAACCTCCTCTGGCGACACTTCTGGGCGAGGAAAGGTTTGACATTTTGTAAAGTTGCATCGAATCGCTGTTGCTGTGACATGAAAAATCTGCCATGCAGAAAATCAAGGCTCATTACATATCCCAACTGGGGCTGTGTTTAAGATTCAGCAAGATTGACGTTTCCTTTTAAGTAACAGTGTTAAATGAATTCTGCAGTTGCCAGCTAAATTTTTATTTATGTTTAAATGGTACTTCTAAAATTAACCACTGTTGTCCAATATACTTGTTAGGACATACTAAGGAGTGGTTATGATAAGAGGAAGATACTTTAATTAAAACAATCCCTCCAAACTAACGTCTCCACCATACTCAAATGTTTATACAGCATAGAAAGGAAAGTGCCACAGTATTCATAGATGTGGTGGACCTTGTTCTCAAATATATATACATAGAACTAAAGAGTTCTGGAAAATATTTATTTATTTATTTATTTTTAAATTTATTTGCTGTTTATCTCACCAATGGGGCTACTTTAGGCAGCTTACAACAGTAAAATCAGAAATGAAAAAGAGAAGGGTAAACATAACAGTAGCAAGATAATGAAACTATAAAATAAACAATGAAATAAATAATGAAAATATAGTAACATGAGATTAAAAGATGGGCTGGGGGAAGCAAGGAATTGGGGGGAAGGTGGGATATGCTATCAATCTAGTAGCCATCTCCAGTGGGATACTCCCCCCATTGGGTCCCCAATAAAAGAAACTGTCATATAATACTTAGAAAAGAAATAAATGTGTATGCCATATGTTTTCTTGGACAACGTAACATTTCATCAGACTAACAGTTATATACTGAACATAATTAAAGAGGAATAATAACAGGAGATGTAGGGCAATAAAATAGAGGGGAGACAAGAATTATTATTTATCAATAGCAACTGTTTGCAAAACAACTGAAGAGCTTATATATACATATACATATAGAGAATTTATTACTTCATTTGAGGATGTGGACTTACTTTACAAAAACCTATGCATAATTAATTCAGTAATCATTAAAGGCAACAACATTTTGTAGTGTTTTTGCTGCAGTAGACCAACATAGACACCTTCCTGGAAACTGTAAAAAAAAATATCAGGTTGTATACAGAGGCAGATTGTCAAGCGCAGAAAATCAGGAGTCCATCAGTTCAAATGAATGTATAGGTTTATTGTAAGCTAACGCATCTCTACAAGAACCTGAATTACTAATGGTCAAAGCACATAGGCGTTAGATAAGAGTCAATGGAATTCAAGCTGGGCTGGACTTAGATCACTTGTGGGCACGAAGGGACTCGAGACTGATGACGTGTTTGACTCCTTCCTCAGACTCAGCCTGGTCATCTCCTACAAAGACATGGGCATATGAATACTGTATGTATATCACTAGGGAACTACATTTGTCACTTAACACAGATTCAGATGGGGGAGGGGGAAGAGGAGGACGAGGAGGAATTGAACTGAACCAGCAGAAACTGAGAACTTGTACATATCCAAAGCATAGATAGTATGGTTACTCCAGTAATAAATAAATGTCTTAGCACCACCATAGAGACAAGACCACTTTTAGTAATCTGTTTGGATCCTAGGATCTGACTATTGCATAATAATTTCACATAATTTCACAATTTCAGTTGTGATTTCCTAGCAATCATTTAATGAGCAATTGTGCTATTTTGGAGCAAATAAAAAAGCCTGTTAAAAATAAGATAAGATAAAAGTAAAAGAAGAAAAAAAACCAAGCCCTTTTTGATAGAGATAAATAGCAATTATGTTGGGAAGAGTTAAAGGTTAAAAGAAACCAGGCTGCCAAAGAGCATGATGGCTGGAGCTATCAAAGTTGACATCAGCCAGAGAATAGAAAAACTCAAGAAGCAGCGCAAGATCAGAAGATGTGGAGAGACCTGGCCCATAGAATCACCAAGAGTTGGACACAACTGAATGGATAACCTCGTGGTCATCATCATAATTGAATAGCAGATACTTTGAGCTGTTTGTGCTGTGCTGAAGGCCAAAAGCATAGTTTCAATACATTCCTAACAAATCTTTGTCATTCAAGTCAAACAAATTTCTAAAAAGCAGGCACTGATTTTATGGAGTGTAATCTGCAGTGTAGTCTCTTTAAAGTTAATGGGAAACGATAAATGCTAGTAAATACTGTGATGATTTATTTTTATTTTATTTTTTTATATACTACTTTTATTATTTTTATAAATAACTCAAGGTGGCAAACATACCACACTCAGTCCTTCTATTTTTCTCACCACAACAATCCTGTGAAGGTGAGTTGGTCTGGGGGAGAGAATAACAGAATAACAGAGTTGGAAGGGACCTTGGAGGTCTTCTAGTCCAACCCCCTGCTCAGGCAGGAAACCCTATACCATTTCAGACAAATGGTTCTCCAATCTCTTTTTAAACACTTCCAGTGTTGGAGCATTCACAACTTCTGGAGGCAAGTCGTTCCACTGATTAATTGTTCTAACTGTCAGGAAATTTCTCCTTAGTTCTAGGTTGCTTCTCTCCTTGATTAGTTTCCATCCATTGCTTCTTGTCCTGCCTTCAGGCACTTTGGAGAATAGCTTCACTCCCTCTTCTTTGTGGCAGCCCCTGAGATATTGGAACACTGTTATCATGTCCCCCCTCGTCCTTCTCTTCATTAAACTAGACATATCCAATTCCAGCAACCGTTCTTTATATATTTTAGCCTCCAGTCCTCTGATCGTTTTTGTTGCTTTTTTCTGCACTCTTTCTAGAGTCTCAACTCTAGAAAGAGACTAGAATGACTGGCCCAAAGTCAGCAAGCTGGGTTTCATGCCTAAGGCAGGACTAGAACTCACTTTTTCCTGGCTTGTGGCTTGATGTCTTAACCACTAGACCAAAGTAGCTCTATTATGATTGCTAATATATACTTTATAACAGTGTAATTTCTCATCTGGGCCAACCAGTTTTTTCACTAAAAAACTAAATGTCAGTCCATGTGTGCAGAAATTAGCACTTTGCATCAGTATTATTGTACCCGAATATTTACAACCTATATATGAGTTACAGAAAGAGAGAAATTTAGCCAAGTGATGGAATATGAAAGATGATACAGATCTTTATCCTTTTCTTTCTCTATGTCAAGGATTTGTCAGAGGTAGTGGAATTCATATCTCTTTTGTAAATTTTACTACAACAATTAAATATTCATGAGAAATTTGTTTCTCTCCAATTTCCTTATCTGTTCAGAATTGAGTGTTATTCATTTATCTATCAATCAATCAACTGAACAGTTACTAAAATATATTTGCTTTTATAGATTAAAATTCAGAGGAGTATATTCTGCTTATCTTCCTCCTTTGAGTTTAAATTGCAATATACTGTCATAGCTTGACATCAGAGCAAAGAAATATGAAAATAAGCAGCAATGTAAGTTTTTTAATTTTATACTTAACTCATATTTTGTATGTCAAAGTAATTTCTACCAGCAAGAGCGGAACTTTGGAATAAGTATGTCTAGGATCATGGCTTTTAAATTATTGAAGAGTTGGCATAAGCTGCCTATTTGCAATCTTCAGAGGCAAAGACAACGGAATAGAAATAATTTCTGTTGTATTTCTTTATAATTTATCCAGTCCATTGAAATATAATCATTTTTCTAAAAAGATACCAAGTATGCTTCAGATTATACCCTAAATATTTGTGAGAAGAAGATGGCAAGAGAAGGAGGAAACAGACAAGAGACAAAAATAACAAGAGGCCAATGTCAGCAAATTCAGACATGTATTGTATATTTAGACTTCACATGGGTAACCTGGCTGTGAGACTACATTGATCTCTATTTGCTTTGGAATTAATCATGGACAAGATGGTTATCCAGTGAACATATACTACACAGGAAAGCTTCTATTCCAGACATGTGTGTGTATCTGTGCGTCTGTGTCTGTGTGTGTGTGTTTGTTTGCGTACACAACAGCAATAAGCCTGTGCTGGCATAAGTGAGAGGCACCATGTGTTTTCTCCCATTCTGCTTCTGTTCTCTTTCTACTTCCCCCACTTCCAATTAACCTATGGGAGATTAATAAAGGAGGATCAGTAGAGGTTCTGCTTTGTAGCTTATCACGTGTCAGACATTGTTCTCTTGGAGGACTACAGTATTTGTTAACCAGAAACAGGCCATGATTATACATTATGGTAAAGGTGCTCTAATTAGCCATAATTTGGCCCACAGTTCTGTATTACTTACTAATTCATGTGACCCAGGTCTGTAGTAACTCACTGAGATAGATAAGATGGATTAATGTATCACCAACTTTATTTCTAATGGATGAATAGCATTCATGAATATTTTGTTGTGTGCATTTATGCTGTTCTATCATTGCATTTCACGGTACCTTGTTTCTAATTATTGAGCTGCTGGGAACTGATCAGGAGCAGTGCTTAGAATATGTCCTTTGATTTGTTATATATTGTGTGGCCTGACTTGAATAATTCAGAATATGAATTACTTGAACTGTGCCCAAAAAGACAAATGTACAAATACGTACAGTATGTGTTCAGAGGCATTGTTCATTTGTTTTTCACAAACTTTGTATTTTGAGGCCACATCCTAACTGGAATTGTTGCTATATGAATAAGAATTTTATGTACTAATGTTTACCCAGTTCTTTATGTTTATTTATTATGTCTCTTTCAAATAAAAATATTTTCTAATGTCAATATGTCTTGAACATCTCCAGAACTTTCACATTAACTGGGCCTCCTTCATAACTTTTTTTAACCTGAGGATTGTACTAGACTTTGGAAGAGGCCCACATTTCCAAATCTGGATTAGGACAAAATAAAGTTGTGAGATATTTTTTTCAAGGTAAAGTTTAATTGAGATAGTAAACACTACTGTTGGCTTTCAGGTGGATTACAAATCGCACTGACCTGGTTATGGTGACCAAAGCTGCTTGTTTTTTCCTAGGAGAAGCTGTACATTTAGCTCGGGATTTTGGATACATCTGTGAAACTGAATTCCCGGCCAAAGCAGTTTCTGAATACCTGAACAGACAGCACACAGACCCTACTGATCTCCACTCCCGAAAGAATATGCTGCTTGCCACTAAGTGAGTAGAAAAACAGTCCTTGAACATGCTTTGCTTTCAAGGTCCCGGGCCTACTTTTTCTCTGTCTCTTGCATTCGCAATCTAGCTGGTTTCATTGCAAGGTTCAGTCTAAACGTTTTCTTTTGTTTCAAAGTGAAAAAAGGAGAAAAGGAAAAAGAAGAATAAATGTGAACAAAGAGAGAAAAGACAGATAGAAAGTTCTGTCAAAGAGAAAGTCAGAGGTAAAAGGAATGAACAGAAGTGTAAGAAAATATGTTTCCCCCAATTACTTTTCCAATTTTATTCTGTGGCTAGGTACTGAAAATCCCTCCTCAAAGAGTAAAACTGAATAAACACAGTCGATGGTAAATTGACTGGTTTACAGTCTGGTAAATTGATTTTTAAAGAAAAAAATGTGTTGATAGTTCTAGTTATCATTACAACATATCAGGGTGATAAATGGAGATTTAGCATAAAATGACTGGTCAAAAGTACATTATGGTTGCCTGATATTAGCAATTTCCTGCATCCCAGGGATACCATTTATTATTGTATCTGATTGCCCTTCATTTGGTTTGGTGAATCTAGTGCCTACCAAAATAAATGTGTAAAACCTCAGCCCACTGGGTCTGGGTGAGGACCTGTTTTAGTTTTTGGAATGTCTTTGAGATGTTGCTTCCCCATCTTGAAACTCTCCAGAGTTGTAGCAATGTAATAAACATCTTCAAAGATAAAATATTCTAGGACAAATTTGATAATGATAGGAAATAATTATCCAACAATCCTGAGAATTATGATAGGATTCAGCCTGGAGTCTATAGCACGCCATAACTGCTCTACAGAAAAGAAGGGAGTTCCAGAGTATTTATGAAAAGCTCCAGTAAAGGGAGATGGGGCTTCTGTCCTGTGACAGGCTGCAAGCTGAAATGAAATAAAATGCTAAATACTACTGAATAAATGAGCATGAAGCCTTCAGTTCAAGGGCTGAGAAACACTGTGGCTGTTGAAATGCTGCCAAAATTAAACTTTGCACACTACTTTTTGGTCAGACAAAGAATAAAAAAATAAGAAATGGATAAAGAAACAAAGTGGTTGTTCCGTTTTCATGAAAGTTGTTTTAAATTGTCCTTTTAATGCTCACCGTTTATATATCCTTCTTACATGAGGGGGGGAAATTCCTTTCACTAATCTGTGTGTGCCACTTTGATCCACTCTTAAAAATAAAAACCCAAGCCACTAATAACAAAAATTATGTACAAAAACAAATGTCCTATGCTTCTAATTTATGTTTAATAATATAACACTATCTGCAGCAATTATGCTAGCCAATAAGCCTTACCTGCTAAGTGAGCTTTTGCAGCTATCTACCTGCTTATCAATGTTAGAAATCTACAGATGTAGACCTTGATGGTAGTCAAATAATCTATGATTCCTCCCACCATTATCAAAAAGAAGCTGGAGGACCTTTGCTGAGAATATTGCTTGTAAGTCAGTCAAATGGGAAATTTCCAAATATACAAGTCTGAAAGACCAGTTCTAATTTCTTTGAACAGGGTCCTAAAATGCATGGGTATTTTTATCAAATGATCAAGATTATGTTAGCTGCACAACTAATGGTTAGAGTAATTTTCAACAGTTACTAATAAGTTGGTAATCGCAACAGAATGTGGCACTATTTCCAGGTGTGGGAACCATAAAGTGCAGTAGAAGTGTTCAAGAATTGTTATTATTAGTCTTGACACATGTGGAAACTACTATATTCAGACTTCTTAGATGTGAAAAGCAGTACCAGAGGAAAAAAAAACAGACTAAGATGGGCTTTTCTGCATGAAGATGCAAACCTATAGAAGCTGATTCTCACTGTGTAGGATATTTGTTCTTTAGGAACCTTGGAGTCTTAGTGGACGATCACTTGACTATGAGCCAGCAGTGTGCAGCAGCAGCCCAAAAAGCTAATACAATCCTGGGTTGTATAAACAGAGGCATAGAATCAAGATCACACGAAGTATTAGTACTGCTTTATAAAACCCTACTGTAATAAGACCACACTTGGAATACTGCAACCAATTTTGGTCACCATACTACAAAAAAGATGTTGAGACCTTGGAAAAAATTCAGAGAAGAGCAACTAAAATGATCAAAGGCATGGAGACTAAAACATATGAAGAACAGCTGCAGGACTTGAGTTTGTCTAGTCTAAAGAAAAGAAGAAATAGGGGTGACATGATAGTAGTATTCCAATATTTGAGGGGCTGTCACAAAGAAGGGGGGTCAAACTATTCTCCAAAGCACCAAAGGGCAAGACAAGAAACAATGGTTGGAAACTGATCAAAGAGAAGCAACCTGGAATTAAAGAGAAACTTCCTAACAGTGAGGACAATTAACCAGTGGAACAGCTTGCCTTCAGAAATTGTGGGCGCTCCATCACTGGAGGTTTTTAATAAGAGACTGGACAGTCACTTGTCTGAAATGGTATAGGTTCTCCTGCTTGAGCAGGGGGCTGGATTAAAAGATCTCCATGGTCCCTTCCAGCTCTATTCTATTCTGTTCTGTTCTGTTCTAATATTAAACACAGATGTTTGAATCCATATGCTCATAATATGTTTATGAAGTCAAATCATAGAGAGAGGGTCTTACTGAAGACTTGAAATACTCTGTCCTTGAGATATGACAACATTGTAGTCTGGACAAAAATTGATACATTTATATAATGACAAAAGTTACCCAAAAACTTGATAATAACTTTCTTGGCAGGGAATTTTATGGCTACAGAGCAAAAGGGATATTAGACAAGTTGGCTCCAAGAAAATCAGGTATCTTCCTGAATGCCTCTTCCCTGATTACAAATTGGATAGTCATCAACATAAGTGAAATATTTGATTTGGGTACTTTCTGATCTTACATTCTTCAACCAAGAGAGAGAAAGAGAGAGAGGAAAAAAAGAATATGGCTACGAACATTCTATCCATCAACTGAAGAGCTGAGATGGAATCAACTTGTTAACAAATAATGTGGTCAGTGTATGGGAGTTGACAAATAATGTGATGAATGAATTTGAATCACAATGTCCCATTTGTAGGGCTTAGCACATTTCCACAAATCAGACTTCAGACTCAGAGGACTTTGAGATATTGTAGAAACCAATAACATCTGTCTCTTCACAATTCATGCCTTTTTGAAATCAGAAGATTTCCTTCTCGCTAGTGAATTCTTATTTTCAACAAGGAATTTTTATTATTTTCCTTTTTGCTTTTCCTTATCCTTATTTGCGCCCTTTGAAGCTGCTATATTAATGGTCTAAACTGGCAAATAAAGCACTAAAATAGCTTTAAGACATGGCATTACTATTGCTGACATAGAGAAGCTGATTACACTTACATAATAAAGCTACAGTATAGAGAAGCTATACTGTGATACAACAATGATGTTAAAAGGAATTCATCTCAGAAAAAAATGTACTTGGCAATACAGGAGCATTATCCACATGTATGTGACCAAAGAGATATTAATGTTTACTTCGATGAAGCAGTTGCCTACTTGTTAATATTAAAAACAGTTCACAAATGGAACCATTTACCAGGAGAGTTGGCAGGTTCTCCTTTACTGATTGTATTCAAGTGGATGAAGACAACAATCTCTCGGGGTAGTTTTAATTTGGATTCCTGCACTTAGCACTGGATTGGACTCGATATCCTAAATGATTCATGTCGTTCTGTTTCTAGTTACCCAACTGTTTGCCAGTTCAGTAAAACTAGAAGCAGTTCAAACCCTCTGTTTTACCTCCAGTGCCTTCTGGATACCCCTCTGGCCCTTTAATCTGTCTTCTATCAATTGCTCTGTTCATGTTAATGGCAGTAGCTACTTACTTCATAACCTCTTAAATCCTAAAAACCTCTGATGCTTAATCAAGCATAGGTGCAACCCGTTCAAAGAGATCCCAGAATTCCCTCAAGGGACCCGATGTCTGGGGAATTAGAAGATGTGATCATCAGGCATCAGGACTCATAGAGCAGCTGAAATCACAACCCTTTTAACCTTATCATTCCATACATTCTTGATGTTCTACCTACTATTTAATCATCCCATCTTTCTGTGAAACCAACATATGTTTTGAATTGAAAATATCTTCATTTGCATTTCTGCTGTACTGTGTATCCATCTATTTACTTGTTGTTCTTATGAAACAATAAACTTAATTTTGGACTATAGTACACTGGAATGGAATGAGTTGTTGAATGGGATTTAAACACGCATTTTTAAATGTCAAAACAATATATTTTTCTCACATGAGAACAGATCACCTCCAGCCTGGCAGACTTTTTATAAAGTTTTTGGGAAGCAACTTCACTTTGACAACATCAATAATGTTCACATGATGACATTCTCCCATTTAATTAAGTACCTTGCATTAAGTATATACAAAAATGTGACAGTATTTATTAAGATTTTTCTAGTAGCAAAATCTGACAGTACTATTGTGAAGTTGAAATTTTCGGTATTAAGTGGAAATCCATCAGCAAAATTATGCATTAAGTTGAAATTAATCAGCAGAAGTAGATTCTGTTATAAATGCTTTCTATATCATACTTATATTGTTATTCTTGAAAATGGTCCCAAAGTATCAGTGATCATATGGATTACAAAAATTGAAAGCCAGATGCAAAGATATTAAGAAATCAGAAATGTTTAAGAATATTTTTACAGAGACTTTTAAGAAAATAATTCATACTAACCAGTCACTGATAGTCCTAAGACATCTAAAGCTAAAGGGTTGGGGGAAAGGACCATAAGATGGGGTTCATCCCTAGGAAGGTCTGTTGCCTGGGCCATAATCCACTGATATCACAAAGTGGGGGACACTCAACAGATCATTCCCTACATATCCTAAATATCCTTGCCAAGATTGTATTTAGGCAATGTAGTACATCTGTTTACATAGTTTTTTCCGCCATGCTAGATAATGGAGGATGTGGTTGAGTTTTTTGAACACAATAATGCTTAGATGGCATTGTGACTGTCCT